GCACCTGAGCTGGGCTGTCGATTTCAACTCGAATGGCACGCCACCCCTAGGCTCAACTCTAGTGAGCCTGGTTTTATCCCCTCCCCCCTCCAAATCTAGTTTAAAGCCCTCTCAATGAGGCCTGCCAGCTCGTAAGCAAGAATCCTTTTGCCCCTTGGAGTCAGTTGCACTCCATCTGCTGCAAGGAGGCACGGTGCCGTGTAAACCGCCCCGTGGTCAAAAAACCCAAAATTCTGATGACGGCACCAGCCCCTGAGCCATGTGTTGATCAGGTGTGCTTTCCTGTTCCTTTCAGCGTTCTTCCCTGTCACTGAAGGGATTGATGAAAACACTACCTATGCTCCCGCTCCATTGACCAGTCGCCCCAGTGCTTTCAAGTCCTTTTTGACTGCCTTTGGGCTTCTGAGTGCAACCTCATTGTTGCCAACCTGCATGACCAACAGTGGGTAGTAATCAGTGGGCTCAAAACAGTCAGGAGCAGTGCTGATCTTCAAGAGCAACTGACTGGTAGGCAAGTAAAGGGAAAGGGACGCATTGCCTTGGAGTACATTGTGCTTGCAGCACAGCCAGCTGGCAGGAGTCATTGTGGTACAGTCCAGGGAAAGATTGAGGAGTCTGCAAGTAGAGAAATGTGTTCTGCTCTATCAGGCAGAATCCTTTTTGGGTTGGGTTTGAGAGATGTAGGAAGTAAATATATGCAGCATTTAATTAGAGTGTATGAGAAACCAAGAAATTCCTACACTGTAGATACGTGTTTTGGATGTGTCTGACTTTTCTGTGGAGGTTTTCTTGCTGGCAAGGGAATTGCAGAGGAAACTAGGAAGAAGTCACTTGCAAGTAGGCATGAAGCATTCAAAAAAGAATTATTAGGATTTTTAGGGCCTTCTAAATGAAGAAGTTGTGCTGGGTGTGTGGAAGAGCCAAATTAATTTCAAGATTATAATAACAAATGTTTTATTGATGACAAATGTGCTTAGATTACATGCACATTTTTGATTGTGTACACATTTTTATGTATGCATACATACATTAGATCCTGGTATGAGTTCATATGGAAGGGACTTTTATCATTGGAATTACCTGAATTTCTCCTCTCTGTTAGACTTTAAATCACATGCCTGTGAGCATACGTTGCGGTTTAACCCTAGTAGGCAGCTGAGCCCCACACAGCCACTCATTCACTCCCCCTCAGTGGGATGGGGGAGAGAATTGGAAAAGTGAGGAAACTTGTGGGTTTAACCCACAAGTTATAAACACTTTAATAGGTAAAGCAAAAGCTGTGTGTGCAATCAAAGCAGAATAAGGAATTAATTTACTACTCCTGCATCAGCAGGCAGGTGTTCAGCCATCTCCGGGAAAGCAGGGCTCCATCATGTGTAATGGTTACTTGGGAAGACAAATGCTGTAACTCCAAATTGTCCCCCCCCTTCCTCCTTCTTCCCCCAGCTTATATTGCTGAGCACGATATCATATGGTATGGAATATCCCTTTGGTCAGTTGGGGTCAGCTGTCCCAGCTGTGTCCCCTCCCAGCTTCTTGTGCACCCCCAGCCAACTTGCTGGTAGTGTGGTGTGAGAAGCACAAAAGGCCTTGATGCTGTGTAAGCACTGCTCAGCAACAGCTAAAACATCTTTTGTTATCAACTCTATTTTCAGCACAAATCCAAAACATAGCACCATAGGAGCTACTATAAAGAAATTTAATTCTAGTTTAGCCAAAACCAGTACAGCAAACTAGTTTTGCTAGTAGACAATGATAGTTAGCTTATGTAAATGTGTTATTGTGGGGGATCTTTTCTATATGGAAGTTTTTTTAATTTACTATTGTCCTGTTAATTTTTCCATATGCATCATTAAGAGTTACAATTCTTAAAAAGAAGCTTTTTGTGGCTGTGATGAAAGCAAAGAGCAAGGTTAAAGCGTGGAATTTCCTAGTCTTCAAGACAGGTTGGAAGAAAATCAAGGTTAATTCTTACAACATCTGTTCATACAAGAGTAAAAATCCTGATTGGTGTGATTCTTGGACAGGCTTTTCTTTTTTTGTGGCATCCATCAATATTTTTGTTATAAGAACTGCAGAATGGGATCCAGCATAGCTAAAATACTAAAATAGTAGGACTAAATAAAATAATTCATTCACAGTTGAGATATGAGAAAGAATCTAGCCATTTGAGAAATAGGTTAACAGCAGATTAATGTAAGTGTGTGTAACTTGAAAAAAGTCTCAAGTGCATTGGTTTTATAATAAAGCAAGAAAGGTACTTTGGCCATTCACAACATAGGTTGCCCAACAGTCCTTTTTTTTCTAAATGATTTCTAAATGATTCCATACCTGTTCCAATATTTTTCACTGGCATGAAGAGAAATGCTCTGCAAAGCTGTATCTAACCTCTGCCTCTGCTTGATCGTTGAGACTCACCCCTGCTGCAGGTGCCTACAGAGCATCTCTTGCTTAGTGTAAGTGATTAGATGATAAGCTCTGACTGACCCAGTCTGGTTTTTCCCTTAGTTGGGACTGCATGCACATGGATAACTTTGGGTCCAAAGCAGACTTTCTAAAGCTCTGAGCCCAAACAAGCAAAGACCATAATAGAATCCTGGTATGACCTTAGCTGTAGTGATTACTCTTAGACTGCTACTCTACAATATATTATTAAGGGTTGCTTTTCAGCAATGAAAAAAATGATTCGAATGAAAAAATCTCTTTGAACTATGCTTTTGAAAAATTAATGCGGGCAATTCATATTCACAGTAGGACTTTCTGGGGCCTGTGCCCTGCTGAGATAATGCTGCCTGCTGAGTCACTGAAGGAGACATTTGTCCTTTGTACTTCTTCACAATTCACTGGAGACATGGTATTCTTCCTCCCCCTGAAGCGTCCTGTTGCTCTGCATTTATATTCCTTCTGTTGTGGCTATCATAATTAATTTTTCAGTCTTCTACTTAAAGTGAATAATCCAGTAGATCACTTGCACCTCAGACTAAACTCTTCTCTTAAAATGACAAGTATATATTTTTAATGACATATTCTTTGGAAATTTGGGTCAAATTGCGGGACGTTAGCTGGTGTGGGCTAAGTGCATCCAGTTACTTTTAGTGGGTTTAGGGGAATTTGGCCTGCTTAACTCTTCCTTGCAGGAAGAACGATGCAAAGTCTATAATGAAGGAAGAATAAATAAGAAAAGCTATGAAAATGTGCTAGAGGAAATGTCGGTATTACTTTCCTGCTCTTTGACAAAATACGTATTTCCTGTGAACCATTTTTAGTGAGCCAAAATTCACACAACAATATCACAAAGTTATTTTTAATCATATAAACATAAAAGTTTTATTGTTGCTTTTTCTTCCGGCACTTTAATTGTGTTTGGGTGAAGGACACAAGACAGTGTGAGTGTTGAAATAGTGTTTAACCATTAAAAATGATAGTGTAAAATCATCAGTATAATGTCTAAAGAGAGAGCTTATCACTTTTTTTTTTAAAGACTAAACCTGACATCTCATTCTTACAGTTACTGATAGCCTAGAAGGAATGATTTTGGTATTGCGTCTTGCATACAATAGCACCAAGAGTTCTCATGTAATCATCAGCTCCTCACTGAGATAGGATTAATGTAGCTAGAGGTAGTTGCAGTGTTCACAGCATTCAAACTCAGTATTACACATGAGCATAGATCTGTTGACTTGAAATAATCATAAATTAGTGTATGGTGAATATATTCTTGAGTGTTAAGGCTTAGAAATCTAAATTAATTTCCTCAAGCTTGGCAAAAACTGGTGAAATACCAGTGCTACTGTATTTGTTATACAGCTTTTTACTGAATCTCAGGGAGGCAGCATAGAGCTGTGTTGACAGGTTTCTAGTATTTAATTTCTTACTTAGACTGAAATAAAGTTGCAAGGGTGATAGTAACAATACAGTGTTGAGAGAAAAATAAGAAATTTAAAAATAATTCTGTATTCCTCTCCTTAGGCATCTCAAAACACCCTAAATTCCATGTGGTATATGGAGGTTGGTTGCATCTAAGTTCCTGTTTCAATGTTTGGAGCACTGTGTCTCAGCGCTGATGGAAAAACTAGAATCCAGCACTAAACTTATTCATAGTTGCTGCATAACTTTTTGTGCTCATTGAATGAGTAATTGACAATTTTGCTTTGGCTTCATGGCTCAAACATGCTTACTAAGTATACACTTCTCTTACTTTTGCTTTCCTGTTGTTGCATTTACTGCGGCATGCGATGTTTGTGCTGTGGGTGGCCCTGTATTATGAGTAACTTGCCTTTCTCCTTTAGCTGCCATTAGCTAATGCAAATATGTTATAATATTATAGCCTGTTAGTGAACTTTAAACAGATGCGCAACTTATGAAACCTTGATGTGCAGGTGAGAGAGCTTCGAGAAAGAGCAAAGGCTTACAGGCAACGAGTAGAGGGAACACACTTCTCCCGATACCATCTCAATCAGATCCTGTCCGATAATAACAGTCTTTGGGATGTGTCCTCAAATTCCAGTGCAGAAGAAGGCATCAGCAACAACATCAGAGCACTAGATCTTGCCGGGTAAGGTCGTCATTCCTGCCTGTTATTCTGCAACTTTGAAACAGAGCAAAATGCTGAATATAGGCTTAGCATAGCTGTGAGATCTTGGAAGTTTGACTGTATTCAAGATGCAATTGGACAGGGTGCTCAATAATCTTATCTTTGCTCCCTTTCCACATGAAAGGTTGGACCAGATAGTCTTTCGAGGACCCTTCCAACCTGGGCTGTTCTATGATTCTATGATATGTACATTCTCTAGAACAGATGAAGGCATTTACCTTTTCACAGATACATCAGTTGATCTGTGCTCAAATTGAAAATGAGGCACAGTCCAGCCTTCTGAAAATTCTTAAAATTCTCCACAAATGCATATTTAGTGTGGCAACCTTGGTCTCATCAACTCTGGAGGAATTTCACACTGAGTCATACTGAAGTAATATTCTTCTTTCCACTGGAATGACAGGAAATATGTTTTGCCTGCTCAAATGTTATCAATGTTCTTGTCAGGATTAATTAATCTTGTGGTTGAGTCTTAGACACTGTTTAGTTCTGAGATGAAGACTTAGGAACTGGAATGGTGTACATCCATTTTCTCCTTTCTTTGAAGGCTGTGAGAATTGGCAGATACTAAATCCATTGCAAGGAGAATTTGGAATTAGTATTGTAGTAAAATATACAGACATCTATTGCTGAAGCAAGGAGGGAAAAAACCCCATTTGTGACTTCTCTGAGAGCTGATATTTAAAAACAGTGCCTTAGATGCCTCTGTCTGCAGTCCACTTAGACTGCTGTACGTGCACTACTTCTGTGTGTGGGAGGGATCTGCCCGTTTGTATGACTGTAGCTCTTGAAAGGGTTGGGAGATGAAACGTAAAAGAGTACTTATGACAGTATCATGTGTGATATTAAGTATGGTGTAAATTTTTTGATTTACTGGTTTGGTTTTTTGCCTACGAAAGACAGATCCTCTTACTCATCTCATTTCTGTGCACTGGGCTAATAGGCACTGATTTCTGTAAGAAGTTGAGCATTTAAGGCTTTCAAAAGTTGTGCCTAAAGAGGAGTCTTCTAAACTGCTTGGCTTTCAAAATTGTGCCATCAGACAGTCCCTATGCATGAAACTAGTTATTTTTTGAGCACTTCTGGTGATCCAGCGTGTTGAAATTGGAAATAGAGCTCAGATTTTACATTGCATTTTTGGAAATGGTAATCCAGAGTGAGTTTTCATAGAATCTAGTTTGAAAATGGGTTGTGCTTAAACATCAGTTGAAACTTCAGTGGAAATTTAATGATTCATCCTGTCAACCGTACCACTTTTTAATATCTGAGCTGTACTTTTGGCAAAGGACTGAACTGGATGAGTGTGTGCTACAGAGACACCTGTGTATCATGCAAATCGCTGGTATGAAACACTGCTTTCTTTGTTACCTAGAGTTTCTGAAAAAGAGACTGCACCAAGCCCCAAAATACTGCACCAGCCTGACTCTAGAGAACAGCCACACCAGGACATCACTGAGAAGAAAGACATGTCAAATGTTTTAACTGTTCCAGTCAAAAGGCGTTTAGTTTGGGGTGAACAAGAAGGTATTAAAGAAGGGGAAAATCAGCAATCAGCAGAAGAAGAAGAAAACCAAGATGAACAGGCTGAAGTTGTGGCTCAGCAGTTAGAAGAAAGCAGTAAGGGTGCCAATGAAGATAAAAAAATTGAAGGGTAAAACTGAACATTTTTGTGGTGTATATATGTAAAGTTTTCCTCTAACATGTCAGAAATATGTAGGTTAACTAATTTTTGCTTTTAAATCAGATCTACTTAAGAGGGTATAAGTTGGTGTGCCACTACTTTTCTTTTAACAGTATGATAAAGAATGAGAAGGTTCAAGACATTGAACTGGTTGATGGAAATGGATCTGTCATTAAGAATACTGGATTCTAATTGGCAAGACAGAAGTATGTAGAAGCATAAACAATTCTAATGTATTTTTCCAAAACTTCAGGAATTGGCAGTATGGGCCTCTCAGAACAGAGAGGCCCATACTGCAGCATTCATTATGTTCATTATGCAGGAGCCAAGTGTGTCGAAAATTGAAGCTCACAATTTGCATCAAATTGACAGTGTAGAATTGATAGGACTGAAAGGATGCTAATCTTGTGCTTAAGCATCTGTTTTTCTCAAAAAAATTTCATGGACAAAGATAAAGGACTTGGGACAAAAAAATAACTAGCATACAGTAATCACCAGTGATTATGTTACTGAGCATAGGTGGGAAAAAGGTGGAGGGGTATTTAGAAATAATGAGAGATCAGTATGTGCATAGTATAGTGCATAGTACTGTATTTGACAGTTGAAAGATCCAAATTGTATCTAGTTACAGAAGTCTCTGGCTTTTTACTGTGCAAGTTTTGCATGTTCTTTTTGGTAGAACAATATTTTAGTTTGATAGATATTTATATCTGAATAACTTTTGTCCTTATTACTATACCATCTGAGCATTTTGTATTCCTTGTTGGGTTTTATCTTTGGTGTTGTAGCACGACTCGAAGGTAAGGAATTATAATTGTCGTCTTTGGGGATAATGTCCTGTATACAAAACCCAGGCAAAGAAAGACTGAGGTGCTAGACTCAAGCAGCAATTGAAGACAGGCTTTCAAAACCATCATCCTGAAAACCTTCTGAAGTTTCTATCTAATTCTAGAGATTATCTAGTTCATAGTTGTGTCTCATTGACATTGAAGATTTTCTGTCATCCTGCAGTGTGGTTCTGTGTGTGCTGAGATATGCTCTGGACTTGGCCATGCAGGGCAGCCTAACACGTGCATGTTATCTAAGCCTGCTTGAGAGTTAGAAATGAGGCATTCTTTCCTTAGATGTCCTCAGAGCATCTCTAGCACGCACTGATAACGATCAGGTTCCTTGCACAGTGTGGGTATGCCGCCACCTCCTTTTGAAATGCATCTGGAGGAAGAAGACAGAAGTGGTGGTGCTGATTTATTTAAAAACCTGGGGGCTAAAGCAGTTACCTAAATGTGGGATACTTGGTTTCAGTTCCACCACATTGACTGTAAAGAATCAAACCCACATTCCCACCTCTAAGGTGGCAACCAGGTTCAAAGTTTTCCTGGGCGAGTACTCTCTCCAGCCCTCCTGTTGAGTCTGCTACTGTGCAGCAATACGTTCAAGGTTTACTGGGACAGAGGGAGCACGAATTTGCAGCTTGAGACTGTTTATGTGTTTTATCCAGTTACATAAAAAAAAGTAAATACAGAAACAGGCTCGAGGGCTGGAATCCAGGACTCCCCATTGCAAGCAGATGTTGTAGCTACAGGCTGTTGGTGTTTTATGGCCCTGTCTTGCCTTAGGCTTCATTGTAGGAATGTATTAGAAACAAAAAGCTTGAGTGCAAGACTCCTCAGTCCTTAGATAATCCTTTAATAATTTCTCATTTTTTGCAGTGAGAATGCCTTAGTATTGAATTCTTCTGCAGCTGTGTCAGATTCTTCTTCTGTATCCTCGAGGACAGGCGGCAGGCTTCCTACTCCGAAACTGAGAGCACTTGGTGGAGCTCAGAGGACTCATCATGATCTCACTACCCCAGCTGTTGGTAAAAAGACTTTTAAATGCAAAGCAGTATTTCAAGAACTAAAGAAAAATAAAGACATGTATGAATTACTTTATTAGGTTATTTAAGGTAATAAAGCATTTTTCATCTTCTCCACTATGATAGGAGGTGCGGTTCTAGTGTCTCCTCCCAAATCCAAGTCTTCATCCTCACAGCAGAGAACACGAGATTTAGGAACAGACCCTTCTTCAGCTAAGCAAGGTGCAAGAGAAGCTTCAAAAAGAAGGTCTTTCCGGGTGAGCCAGAAAAGAGACTTACCATTATGCATTTTAGAAATATGCTTTTAAGTAATTATGAATTATTTATTTAAAATTTTTTTTTTTGAGTTGTCATTTACATTCTCAGCATCTGTGACTAAAAAAGGCCAATGTCTGAATAAATAATTTTTTGAGGGGTATTAAACAAAGGACTTGAGACTATCAGAGATTGGATGAGTTCCATTTTGGCTTTTTCTGCTAAATGCACAGGATCTGTTAAAAAAAAAAAAGTTGCCATCAGGAGCTGTTAATTTCCCCATTAATGTTACTGTAACTTGACACTGACATTGGGCACGGCTCCAGATTCCTTGACTTGAAAGAAATTCACAAAGGAGAAGTTGGGTGCCTATGTACAAGATAGGTAAATGTGACATAATAGTTTCATTCTCCCTTTCCTTTACTTTTGTGCTTCTTTTATTTTGCAGCTTGCATAGTTACTAAGGGAAAAATAGAAATATTTAGGAGTTGTTTAACTGTCTTCCTCTCAAAATTTCTTTTTTTTTGTCAAGTTGTGCTAAGCCTGTGTTCTAGAAGGACGGCTATCATTTCACTGCATATATCCTCTGTAGTAAGTTCTGTAATAGAAGCAGAAACAATTGCATGAGAAGTTGGTCATGTTGGTTTAAAATCTAACAACACAGTTTTTTGCTGTGAAGAAAATAAGCTTTTGGTTTGACCTGACTTGATTACTTTCAGACCATGTTAAACATTTTTTATTATGAATCGATTTCCCTTAAGCTGTTTCATGAGCTTGAAATACTTACTTTTCCAGTACCCTGATGAGAAGTGTAAATAATGTAAAGCCAGCATTTGCTGCATATGTGAGAATCTGCACTGGAATGCTGTATATGAGATGTTGGGGTTTTGTGTTTTGGTTTTTTTTTTTTTTTCTTCTTTCCATTGTGTTTTAGCCTGATGTGGAAGTGGAAGCTGTTTCACTCCTTACCTCTCCACCTGCTGGGCTGGGAACTTTGGATCCTCTGCCACTTAGGCAGGATCAGTGGCCTCCTAACAGTGTCTCTGATGAGCGAGTTCCTCATGCTTCAGCCTATCGAGAGCATTCCTCTACACCTCCTGTAATGAAGTCAGCCAAAAGCTGCTCTGTGCCTTGCTGGAGTCCCTCTCGTCGTATTCAAGGGACTCTCAAGCATCCAGAATTCCAGCATAATGGTGGGTTTTGTGTATTGACTGGCTGTGTTAGTATGCTGCAGGATGGAAATGGCTACCGTGCAGTGTTCAGGCCAAGAGAGTGCTGAGCTTGCTGCCTTACAGACTCTACAAGAATGTTCTGTTTTTGAACAAAAGCTTTTCTGCTATATGTTTAGTCTTGCTGAGGAAATGTGCACAACTTTCCACCTTAAGATTCTGCTAATATAATTGTATTTTAGTGGTCTTTGTCTAATTTTGCCTTACTAATTTCAATATATACTTATTAGAAGAATAATTTGGTTTAGTGTGGACAGTTGTAATTTTTAATCTTTAGGTTACAACTGGATGCTGTGACACTTTTCCAGCTGCAGTTATCAACAATGGTGTGTAACTGGGGACCTTTATAGTAGGATATTTTTTTGCAGGAGTTGTGGATTTCTGAGAGATAAGCTCCTTAAATATTTCTGCAGGATAAGGAAACAAAAAAGCCATCTATAAAAGATTTATTGGATATTGAGAAAAGCCATTTCTCGGCTGAGGAGGAATTTGTGCTGGAGCATTTAAAAGATTTTTAACAATTTTTAGGGGTACCTGGTACATAAATTTGCTAACAAATCCTTCACCTCTTAGTCAAAATAGAGTTTATATGCTTAAGCCTCTGTTCCAGGAAGACTTCCTGTAGCTGCTTAAGGTCCCACAATTCTTGATCTTTTTATTATAAAGATTAGCCAAATTAAAGTAGTATTTCTACTCTAGAATGGAGTAAGTAGTTGCCAGGTTAAGTGGGATGGTGAAATCCAGAGAATTTCCTTGTAAAGAGGTTAGAATTGGTGTTGCATTCTAGCTCTGCACCTCGACCGCAGTTCACGAAGTAACTTGTAGCACCTACCAAAGATAGGTGCCTTGAGAAGAATACAATGGAGGAAGTTTATTTTACCTCAGCTTAGAATAAAGGAGTCTGGTGGAGTTTTTGTTATGTTTGTTATTTATAAGACTCATGTTTTAGAAATAATGTTGTAACATTTTTAAATGTTCTAAAATGAAATATTATCCTTTGTCTATTTTGAAATTATTCAAAACTGTGCCTTCGACTTTCTGTCTTAGGGAATGTTGGCAATCCAAAAATGAGATCTTTCCAGTTACCCCTTCAGGAAAGAAACTATAATGATGAAGGTATTTCTTCTCCCAAAGTATTATTGTATATCATGTGTATATTACCTAGATTAATTTTAACTTTTGCACTAATGTGAGAGATTTCTGAATGCAATACATAATACTGGTTTGTGTGTTTGCATGAATAACTACTGCATTGTTTCATCAAAAAAATTTGAAAATGTTCATCCTAGTAATCTGAAGTATGAATATGAAGGTATATTCTAGTATGAATAAACCATTAAACGCGTTTGAAACTTAAAATAGACCATTGTGGCTCAGCATGGTTACTGTAGCTTGCTCAGTTCCATACCTTAAATTGCTTCCTCCCCACACATTTTTTAAGCCTTTGTGTTGATAGCAACAGAAGCAAACTGCAAAATGATCACAGCCCAGCTTGCAGCTGCAGTAACTTTGGATGCAACTGAAAAGGTACCAAAAATCTTGAGATAAAGATTTTGCTTGTGAGACTTCAGCACCAGATATGCAACATAAAATGATTCCTCTGATTTTAATTTTCACATCTGTTCCTCTGCTCAGTGTATTAGGGGTACTTATGGCACGCTGTTACTCTGATTGCTGTTTTGGCCTTTTTTTCTGTTTACAGTAATCTGGGGGAGCAGCCAGTGCATGGTGCGCTTCTTGGCCCTTTTGTGGGCAGACACAAATAAGCTCCTTCAGTAGCGTGAATCAACCAAAGGCACTATAGCATCCTTAGCTTGAGCTGCTATACATTGTTTCTTAGCATGGTGTATGAGGTTGAACTTGGTGTGGTGCTGTGCTAGTTGCAGTCACCTGTGTTTGGCTCAGAGTATGGGCAGAGCAAGCTTATATGTGATTGCAGTTTATTTATAGATACACCCCAGAGCAATCAAAAGCTTTTTTTCTGTACCCCTTACGCTTGTTTGCTCCTTGGTTTTAACCAACGTTCAGGCCGATTCTCTATTTTACTCACTGCAGTTGGCTGGAAAATGTGTGGGTTGTGCAGATGGCTCAGCCAAGCATATGTATACCTACATAAAACATGCAAAATCCTATAGTACTCTGCAGCTGCCCACAAGCTTGCTGCACAGAGATTAAATGCTGTAACTTGCTGTTTCTTTTTCTTTTTTTTCCCTATGAGCTGAGTGATGATGTATGAGCTTTCAGAAGCAGGCGCAATGTGCCAGCTCAGAGATATTTCACATGCCCATATTTGTTCATGTACATAGAAACCTGGGAGTTACTCCAATGACATGTCTGTTTGCATAAGTGCAGTTAGCAGTTTTCTCATACATGGGAATATAGATGTTATGCACAGTATGTGAGCCTGTTACGGGCTGTTTGGATCACTGTTTTTCAAGAATTTAGAAATGCTGCTGAAAAGTTAATTGAAACACTGACAAAGTACAGGTCCTGTTAGGATTGAGTTGTTGAATTTTTTTGTTGCTTTTTTGTTGATGGGGGGGGCTGGAAAGTAGTGATACAGTTCCTTATAATCCATTGCAGGAGAATGGGTGTAATTACAGTTATTTTTTCATAGAGAGCATCTTGACAGAGTTGTAGCAACATTTTAATAATGGTGTTAAAGAAGTATAATGTTGTGCTTTGTCAGAGAAGCAGCATCCAAGCTGCTTAATTTTAGGAGTTCTGCTGGGTGTGAAGTGTACCCTGTATTCAAAAGCAAGATCTTTCAAAAGTACATTTTTAAAGCATACTCCTTATTGTCTTTGTGTTAAACTTCCTGTTTTCTTCAGAAGACACATTTCTTTTAACAACTTGTGGCACACTAGTTTTGGCACAGAGGGGCTCTTTCAGCTAATATAGGTTCTGATATTTTAGTCACGTGTTATTATAAGGTTGTCCACTTTACTTGAAGTGGTGGGTTGCTTTCATGAATATGTCAAGAGTCTAGTTTCCTCTGCCACTGAAGTCTGTATAATGTTTTCTGAGGTCTTCTGACACAGGAGAATAAATGTAAAGATGACTTGGAGAATTTGGCAATTCCCAGGTGACGGTAGGGATCTCACTCTGGAGTTTGTCAAGAGCTGGGCATGTAGCTCGCTTTAACTTAACTAACATCCTAGTAGTTTTCTAGCTTTCTAGTGAGATTCTTCTCCAGCGTGTCAGTTACCAAGTAATAAAGTGTATTGTGGTACTATTTTAGCATCCATTATGAAAGAGGTCATAAAAATATTGCACTTTCAAAGTCTGACATGAATGTCAACTGTGTTTTAATATGTATATTTAATCTTCCTGTTTAGTTTTTCCCTTGTTGCTTTCCCACAGATGACAGGTTGTCTCAGATTTCTGCTCGCTCGGCAGCATCTAGCTCACTTGCATCTCAGATACTGGAACGAGCTCAGAAGAGGAAGGATTTCTGGGGCAAGACATAATCTCTCCCACCTGTTGTATAGAAACTGTTCTGTAAAATGATTTATTTTTTATAGTTTGTAGTGTACATTTTAAAAAAATGTGATTGTAGATATCATGCAGCATTTTTTACTTATCACTGATATGGCCCAACTTTTAGGACTTTCCATCCCAATTTAAAATTTCAATATTTAAACCAGTGTTGAAAATGTAGGTCCTTTATATCTGAGAGTTATGTCTTAGTTCACTATGTCACAACAGTCATGTGGAGTTTTATTTTTTTTCACAGTGGCTCCTCTTGAAACTGAGAATTTTTTTTTATGCAGCCTGTGTTTTACTTTTCAAGGCATTCTGCTGCAGTCATGCAGTATGACCTGGGACAGTATTCAGGGCGTCATTCACCAAACCCCTCAGTTTCTTGCTTTTAACTAGCTATCTTAAAGGCAACTGTGGTATATTTCTTTATGTTACTATATGAATTGTCAGTACAACACAGTGCTGTTACAAAAAGTTACTTTTACTACTTACCACTTTTAACCTGTTACAAAAAATATCTATTATTTCTTAATGAAGCTAACATGGAACATACAGGGGTTTGAGAGAAGGACACTAAGCATTAGGGTTTGTTCATTGTCCACAGTTTTTTGCCCAGGATGACTAATAGAGTTCAATGTGTACAGTACTGCAGTTTGTCAGATGTACTGATGGGAACATTTGTCTTTTTGTGGGCAAGACCCGTTTCTAGTGTTAATTTCAACTTCTCTAGAAAAAGCAACCTCAGCCACCTTAAACAGTGGCCTTCCCCAGCCCCACTTCAAACTCAGGTATTTAGGAGTAGTTGATCTCTTAAATTAAACTCAGAAGAATGTTTTTTTTCTTGATTTTGACATTTTAATTACCTTTCTTCCTAGTTGCCTATTGCTGGGAGACTGGCATACTGTTATGATTGTCACAGTGAAAAATGTTTGTGATTTATGCTGACAGCTTGTTTTATCTTTCCAAGCGGTGCAAACAAGTTAACATGAAATAGAGGAAATAGGTGGCTAGGAGGCAATTTGGTTCTTCTTGTGTGGTGTCAATTTTTATTATTACTTCATTTGGAAATTTTATACACGAACAGTTTGAATTTTGTACATATTTGCTTACATTTTGATTTTGTACACAATTATGTATGCATATTACTGAAAATAAAAAGGGTTGATTTGTTTCTGTTCAAGTTATGCCAGATAAATTGGTAGAGCCTATTATGTTGGCATTTCTCTGTTTAGTTCTCTGTTTCACCTGTTCAGCTGGAACATCTGTGGACTTTTGAAAGACAAGATGTTACCTTGGAACTGACCTTCAGAAAGAATAAGTTACTGAAGCTAGGTATGTTGGAATTGTGACCCAGAGCAGATGGTTGCTACACAGGCTGGAAGGCTGCAATGGCCAAAGGGCCAGCCCCCCACAAATGAGGTGTTGATTTAAAGGGTGCAATCCAGCACTGATTGTGTCAGAAAACGGTGTCCACATCATCCAGAAATTGTGCATTGCAGTAGCTTCCTACCAGTGGAGGTGTTTGAAACAAATCAAGGTATTTTATTTTATCTTGAGGACTTCTGGGATTATTTTGTGGCATGCACTTAATATGTAAGTTTTAATTGGTCAGAAAGTTTCTGCTGAAAGGGAAACTGTATTTGTGTGCAACAGCCATTATGAAAATTGCCAAATTTCCTCTAAAATTATAGTTTTGTAGTGGAAAACTTAATGGCTAAAAGGTGGAAATATTTTTGTTTAGGAGGGAATGTTGTTGCAGTGTATTGCAGGTGGGTTAATTTGGGTGTCTTCTGTCTACATTCTTCATAGTCAACACATTCTCATGGTCAAGAGTGCTCATCATCCATTACTTCTTCTGTATGGAACCTGTAGTTTGAGTTTTATGAACTGTGTCCTCTTTTTAAATCTTGTATTTTTGGTTTTCTAGGTTTACCTGGGATTCCTGGCTATCTGACGATCTGTCAGAGTTTTTGTGCAGGCCTGATTTTGAGTCCTGCAAGTCATAGATACTATAACAGCATATATGCCAATCTTGCTTACAGTATTGCACTCTGAGTCTGGTCCATCAGGGTAGGTCAGAGTTTGTTACATTTGTGCTGTATGGTACATGTATATTGATTTCTGACAGGGAGACAATAGAAGTGGTAAAGGAGAGAGACATTTTTGTTGCACGGGGGTACAAACCCAATTTAGAGATGAGAATGGAGGCCCCTGGTGTCCCACACATAATCATTACATTATTTCCCATCTGAACAAATTTTAGCTTTCACCTGAAATGTTCTAAGTGAATTTACTTTTAGACAGAAGTATTTAAGGGAAATGTAAACAAAATACCTTTTTTGAGCAATGGAAGTGCAAAGCTTCTGAAGGATGCTCTTCTGTAGTCTTCAAGGTAGATACAAAATTCTTTGTGCCTCCTTTCTGCTATTGTTGTTTGTCTAGTTCAAGAGGGTTTTTTGTTTCTCTGAATGTTTCAGACCAACCTTCAAGCATGTTTCCTGTTGTGTTTTCCAGCAGGCTGAACATGGAAAAAAGGTTCAAAAGTGCACCCCTTATTAATAATTACAAATGCGTGCTGTACAGTGAATGTGTATTGTTTTCTGTCAAGGAAATCTTAGAAGCCTTGAAGTGGAGAGACCAAGTAGATAAACAAGGAGGAAGGCTGTTGCCAACAGGACATATATCTAAGGAATAAACAGCTTTGGAAGCTTGTCGACTTAAGGTCAAGATTTACAAACCCAGTACATGAATAATGGACCCAGTCAATGTGTTGAATGTCTTCAGCTCCAGTTCCCAGGTCGGGTGTACCTGCTGAGTGAATCTCGCTGCTGGGGGTTCACAGCTCTCAACCACCTGTAGAAGTAAATAAGCCTGCTCTTCGTCACTGACTACTGCCAGCTGGGAAACGGCCTTCCTTTACCCAGTATTCCTGCCAATAAAATGTTACCCCAGCAAGCCCGCAAAGAGGAGACTTGATTCCAGTCTGTTGCTTCTCAAAAGCCTTCATGTCTTGCCAGATAGTAAGCCTGTTGCCTCTCTGTGGCAAGAGCGAGCTCTCTGTTTCTTCTACTGAATCTTTTTTTGTATAAAAATGGTTGCTGTCCTAGGGGTTGGAACAAAGATCTCTGTATTCCAAAAGCTGTGCTCACTCTAGCATCTTCTTCCTCCTCTCTCTGGCCAAATCACTGAAGTGGAATGACTTCAGCAGGAGGGATGCAGTACCTTCCTCACCACTTGGGTAGTTCGTCCAGGGAGGTTTGGATACCCCTAGGCATGGTGAGATTTGTGAGGATTTAGCTAAATGCTTACAGTCGCAGCAAGGTAGCATTTAGGCACTTGCATCCTTTTATGGCTTGGGGCTTTCATTTCTTTTCAGAGTCTCAATTTCCAGTGCCTTTCATGATGAATCAGCCTCCTGTACTTAAAATGCTGAAATTGCCCCTGAAATCCTGGACTGAAGAGTTTGGGAAGGATCAGGTGGGGCTTTCCAGATATGGAGGAAGTTTGTGAGAAAATCTGGGATTGTGGATAATCCCAATTAAATAGAATCCTGCTAAAATGCATTATTTTTGCAATGATATTTTGTTGTTACTTTCAAATTTTAATACCTTCATGAGGTGAGTTCTGAAACATAATGTGACGTATATAAACGTCCTTAGCCTTCCAAATGTAAGCAGTCAGTTTCTTCAGCCACCAGAGTTAGATTACTTTTAATGAAGGTGTAGGCAACAAGGCATATCTTTGGGACATACAGTCTGGATTAAGTCCCAAGGCTGCCCAGTGTTCTTCCAGTGATACCCAACTCACTAGAGGTTGTTGTATAGGGATTTTCAGGGATTAATCCATGTCTTCTGTATCATTTATATGGATCCCTGGGTAGTGAGTAACAGCCTCCTGAAAACAGGTTTGCCTTCACTGATGCCTTGCAGGTAGCCCGAGTTGCCCCTGGACCTCAGGGCCACAGGCTGAAACTCACTGTGTGTTGCAGAAGGGTGAAAGGAAGCAAAGTTACTTACTAGCCACCAGCTTTCTTCTTCCCTCACAAATTCTTTGAGTCCAGGTACTGAGGTGTTTTCTTTATCTGACCCTGTGTGTCAGTGCTTTCTGGCAGATAGCGGTGGAGGAGAAAGGAATTTCCAAATACTACCCATAGTACTCGACGACCAAATTTGTAGTACTTGGAGATGGGGCAGCAAGCACAGCTTTTTTGAACAATTTAGTGTGTGCTTATTTGCATAATGCCATATTGCTCTATTACATCTGCCTGTTCCTGCAAGGCTGAGTTGGCACCTAATGTTCTGGTATCGGAGCAGTTCTTGCCGTCTGGTAAAATTTGTCAGCCAAGAAAGAGCCCCATCACCATCTGATGCAAGTGGAAGTTTTGCTATGCCCTCATTGACCGATTTTAGCGTAGCCTGAAGCAAAATAGTTCCGTTACTCAGATGCACACAAATGTGTGATAAAGAAAACCAGCCGAACGGTAATTTTCATGTGAAACAACCTAAATTAATGACCTGATTCCAGCAGTTACTCTAACCCTTGCAGACAGGAGCCTCAGGAAGAGAGGGGAGCATGGTGGAGCTGTGGTTAACTCTTTGGGGTGCAGCCAGTTCTTTGGATTTGCTCTGCATCGAAACCTGGTGGGAAAGTGTTAATCACATAGCAGTGATCACATAGAAGGCAAAAGCTGGAGAGAGGATAGTGGATGGTAGCTAATGAGAATACTCCAGTTTCCTAGAAATCCAAGTTTTGTTTTGCTTTTTGATCTGAGTTTAACAGTGTGCTGAAGAAGGATGTCTGGAGTTCCATGTTAAAAACGTGAATGAATTTCCTAAATGTTCTGATATTACAGTTCCTCTGTCTCAGATGTGAGCTGACCTTGTGACGTTTCTGTTTCGTAGGCTATGTTCTAGAGAAGCACGTGAAGCGACTGAGCCCTGCCTAGCAGATCTGAACTCAGCATGTGGAATGTACTGTGGGTGGGAAGAGCTCTGAGAAACTGAAGGACGGCGCTCGGTGGTCCTGCAGCGTCTTGTTAGGGTGGAGGACTGAGAACTGCACATGAATCGCCTGGAGACTGGCAGTCCTTTGGGAACGTGAGCAAGGCCTTACAGTGTTTTCAGCTCACACACCTTTTGTTGGATCAGTTTATTCCACTTATGGG